ATTTTAAAGAATTAAATATGAACATTTACTAGTTAAAGGATTAAAGTGAACCTTAAATTAAATGAAAGGAGCAAATTAAGCCTTAAATTAATCATTCATAATAAATAAAAGTAATAAATATGAATAATCAAGATTATACCGAAATAGCATATAAACGGACAACAAAATTGCGTCGCTACCCTTTTTTGGATGGCAAAATCAATCATCTTAAACACTATATTCATTGTCCTATGTGATATAACATTATTATGCTCATTGCTAGTATGCGTATACTCATTGCTCAGCTTGTTCCAATTTGGATTTTGGTGTCCCTCTCTAAAATTGGAAAAGTAGATATGTTTTTTTATGACAAACTTTTGTTCCCTGTCGCTCTCTAATTTATTTATGGAAGAATTAAAAACGTAAACCCTGCAAGTGACTGTTAGAATTTAATAAAACAAAACTCTAAATATTATTATAAAATCGATATGTTTACCAATAGTTTCGTTTATGTCTACAAATAGTCAGAAAGATAGCGATGCAACATGCAAATTTCTAAACAGAATTAAACAAAACAAAAAGTCAAAGTTGTATTACTTACTATGTATAATATAATATACACATGCATAGTTGGACTCATATATGCCACCACAAACTTCAGTGCCACCACAAACTTCAGCGATAAGAATATTATTCAGTCAAATAAAATGAAATGGTGGTAGAAATGATCATAACCCACCTACCCTCTAAACAACAATTACAATAATGCTACTGACCATTTTTTTTATCGTAAAGAATTAATCAATATAAAGCTCTAAGTTGCTTAGGATGAGAACTCTATGTGAAGTTTTTAGGGATGTTTGTAGAGAACGAAATTATGCTCTGATGCTTAGAATTAGGGTTTTTCCTCCTATTTTAAGTGAGAGTGAGATTGATTTATAGAGGCTGTGTGGATCCATGAAACTTTTTTCAAAAATTTTGAAGCGTGTGAGGCATGAATGAATTTTGTGTGAGAGGATAAGGATTCAATTCTATTATGCAGTTAGTACTGAAATTCAATCCCTAATTTTGTGGGATTTTTGGTAAGTGGAGTTAAGGGAATTTTGTGTGATCATGTGTCAAGGTTTTTTTGAAACGTGAATTGTAACCCAATTATAAATCTTTTTCTTTTTTCAATGTTGTAAATTTCTTTAATAACCATTTACTTCAAAAAAATCAATAAAATGCAAATAGCCGATATTTAAATTACTTTTTTTTCTTTGTATGAAAATGCATTGCTGAAATCGTGCCTTGCTTGGTCTTCAAATTATTCAGTTTTGTTTTTTTTATTGTGTATGCTATGAAGCACAGACAGTCTTAGGTGTAGGCGTGTTACGGTGACTAACACGTGTCGGTGTCTGACACTTGTAAGACACTCGTACGACACGTGTTGAAAAAGTTAAAGAAGTATTGGAAAAGTCAGACAAGTGTCCACTAAAAAATTATTTCTTTTTTTGTTTTGACACTCTTCGAATCAATGATTAACACTCATACGACACTCATAAGACATATGTTTGACATTTCAGACAATTGTTTTAAACAAAAATTTGTGTTTTCTTTGTTTCAACACACTTCTATACATATTTTAGACAAATCTCATACAAATTTAAAACTGTTAACCGTATACTATTTAAGACATTAATTTTAATTAGAATATTTTCAATTTATTTAATCATAGATGGATAAATAAAGCTTAATACTCTCTTATATATAGCGGTGTCAGTGTCTTATATTTTAACATTATCGGTGTCAGAGTGTTTGTGTCGTGTTTCAGTATCTGTGTCGGAGTCCGTGCTTCATAACTTGTATGACATGTTGCTGCAACATGCGAAACCAAGTTTATGGCCATTGCAAATGATTCTAATTCTTCTTCTTGCTGATTTCTTGGTTAGGCATCGGCCACATGCTTTGGGGTTGGCTTGGAGAATTGGGCAAACCGTGGGGCAAGGATCTTGAGCTTAGAAACTTGTACATTTGAGAACAAGTTTAAAATTTGTTGTAATTCACTTGGGTACTTTGTATTTTACTACATGTAAACTTTGTATAACTTGTCATTTGAAAATGATATTAGCATGGCCTTTGTACTTTGTATTTGAACATGTTGGCTTGTACTTTTGTATCAATACTATCAATGTATTTCCTATTCAATTTTAATGAACATTTCCTCTTTGAGAAATGATAGGCTTACACCACATGTTACAACTTACACCGTATTTTGATACGGTTTTGTTTTTTTACTATATTTAATAATTATTTTTTACTTTTATAATACAAATAAGCACATGCCAAGCTATATTTTATAGGGTGTAGCTATACGGTGTATCCTTTTTAGTGTAGTAATAGCAATCCTCTTCTTCTTTTGAGTCAAATTGTCTTTCCTTCCAAAACCAGCTCTCTTTCTCATTCTAACTCAAAATCTAATTAAATTCAAACCCTTGTAATTGCAACTAAGTCAACCCTCAGAAACAATGCATGAATGATTGAATGAGTGATCAACATATGTGAATTAAAATGTTAGGGTATGTAATGAAAAGATGAGTATGTTTAGAATGAAAATAAAGTAATGACATGAGAAATAAGATCATGTAAAATGACATGGAAATGTGATGAATGAAATATGATATGAAGACATAAATGAGATAAGGAGGTGATTGGAAATAAGTATACATGATTCAAAAGATTCATTAAGATGTCAATGATTAAATGAATAAGTCAAATGTTGATTTTCTCTCCTTTTGATTTTCATGTATATATATGTTTGAATTTTGACTGATAAATGGATATGAGAATTAATAATCAAATGGAAGGTCATGATATGTAGAGGCATATAACTTAGATGCAATTAACATGCGAGAATATTTGGGACAAAAATGTAGGGTATGACAATAATATACACATATTTTTTGGAAAATGTGAAATATTTGGACAAAATTAGGGTACGGCACATTCTTCACAAAATTCCAAATATCTTGATAACAGAAAATAACATTCATCTATGTGGATCAATTATCATAATTCTTACCATTCAAGATTGGAAGATTTGTTGGAAAATGCTTGTTCGGATAAGAAGTCATTGTTATATGTTTCCCAATCATTGCAGTCAGAGCTCTAATACCAAATGTTGGAATTAACCCCAATTTTGAAGATAATCTAAATTAATCTTGATTGATCCATAATCAATTTTTATGATTGATCGCTCTTTTCATTCATCACTCTTCGCTCGAGTGATTCAACCACTCATTGGTTTCAAGATTATTCATGTGCACAATTTGAGAAAAAAAAAATCTATGAAAATAAATTAGAAAGAAAAGAGAAATTAGGATTTTGGAGAATAGGAAAGAAAATGGATTAAATTGTGCAGAGTTTTTTCTCTGCGTTTATTCTTATTGAATTTCTCTTGTTCAACTTGTTTACAATAGTAGGGTATTTTCCTATTTATAATGGGATTACGTGTCTACCAAGTAATTTTCGAAGTAATTAACTATCATAAACTTCAACAAATTGTATTTGATTTTCTGTCAAATACAATTAATATAAACTCTATTCAACAATGTCGAACGCACACTACTTCGACTCTGTTGAACATACATTACTCTGACTTTGTCAAACTCTAATTATGTTTGACACAAAGAATTACTTATTTAACATAAAGAATGAAAGTAAAGTTAGGGTTTCTTACTCAATTTGCTCCAAATGAAATGAAATAGATGATAATAAGGTTCCTTGCTCAAAATAAACAAAACAAAAAAGTCACCTCAAATAAATAATAACATCTAGATTGTCGTGTAGGCTCAACTTAATGTTTTTTTTCAAAATTTAACGAAAATGACATACCTAACTAGTAAAGTTTTTAAGGAGCTAAATATAAATATTTATTAGTTAAATGATTAAAGTGAAATTTAAATTAAATGAACGGAGAAAATGATACATTAAGTCTTAATTTAATTATTGATAATAAATAAAAGTAATAAATATAAATAATCAAGATTATACAAAAATAGCATGCAAACGGGTAACAAGTTGCGTCTTTATTCTTTTTTAAAAGGCAAAATCAATTCTCTTAAACATTACATTTATTGTCTTATGTGACACAATATTGTTATACATGATAAATATAGGAAAGCATGTAAATTGTTGAAACACGTGATAAATAAATATAAATGTAAAACCTGTCGTCCACAATTTCACTAATAAAAAATTTTCGATCAAGAAGACACATTTAAAAGAAAATCTTTTATTCTTGAATTTCTCATTCCAATCATTAAAAATCCAAACTTGTTTGTTTATGTTGGTAGTACGTCACCGGTTTCGCAAGAATTTGATGCTTAGCTTGTTCCAATTTGGATTTTCTTGTCGCTCTCTAAAATTGGAAAAGTAAATGTTGTTTTTATGACAAACTTTAGTTCCCTATCACCCACTAAAAAACACAGTAGCAGCCCCTCGCTGTGAAGAAAGGTTGTTAGATGGTCAGAAAAAATCATAATTTCTCAATTTGTTACCTTTTTTAGTGTCCGATATATTATTAAGAAAGGATAACATTTATTTATGGAAGAATTCAAAACATAAAACCTGCAAGTGACGGTTAGAATTTAATAAAACAAAACTCTAAATATTATTATAAAATAGAGATGGTTACCAATAGTATCGTTTATGTCTACAAATAATCAATAAGATAGCGATGCAAGAAGCAAATTTCTAAACAAAACGATTAAAAAAGAGTCAAAGATGTATGTATTAGTATTACTTACTATGTATAATATAATATATACATGCATAGTTGGACTATATATGCCACCATAAACTTTAGTGATAAGAATATTATTCAAAATGGTGGTAGAAATGATCATAACCCACCTACCCTCTAAACAACAATTAGAATATTACAATTTTTAGCTATATATAATAGTTTCTAGCAAAGCTTTATCCATCATCAAACATACTTCAAACTGTAACAATCTTCTCATTTCAACAAGAACAACAAGATGGGCAGTGTTGAAATTCCAACAAAGGTTCTTACCAACACATCTGCTCAAATTAAGATGCCTGTTGTTGGAATGGGATCAGCACCTGACTTCACTTGCAAGAAAGACACCAAAGAAGCAATCATTGAAGCCATCAGACAAGGTTACAGACACTTTGATACTGCTGCTGCTTATGGCTCCGAACAAGCTCTTGGTGAGGCTTTGAATGAGGCTATTCAACTTGGTCTTGTCACTAGAGAAGAGCTTTTTGTTACTTCCAAACTTTGGGTTACTGAAAATCATCCTCATCTTGTTATTCCTGCTCTCCAAAAATCTCTCAAGTAAGTAAATTATAATTAATCACAGGAGCGAAAGAGAATCGAAACATAGACTTATTGGATTTGTTGGTTGATTTTGTGCAGGACTCTTCAGTTGGATTACTTGGATTTGTATTTGATTCATTGGCCACTTAGTTCTCAGCCCGGGAAGTTTTCATTTCCTATTGATGTGGCTGATCTCTTGCCATTTGATGTGAAGGGTGTGTGGGAATCCATGGAAGAAAGTTTGAAACTTGGACTCACTAAAGCTATTGGAGTTAGTAACTTCTCAGTCAAGAAACTTCAAAAGCTACTATCTGTTGCCACTGTTCTTCCTGCAGTTAATCAAGTAAGTCATTAAACAAACATGAATTTAGAGTAAAACTTTGATTGATAATCGATATATATTTATATAATGTACTTGAATATATGTATAGGTGGAGATGAACCTTGCATGGCAACAAAAGAAGCTGAGAGAGTTTTGCAATGAAAATGGAATAGTGTTAACTGCATATTCACCATTGAGGAAAGGTGCAAGCAGAGGAGCAAATGAGGTTATGGAGAATGATATGCTTAAACAGATTGCAGATGCTCATGGAAAGTCTATTGCACAAATATCTCTGAGATGGTTATATGAACAAGGAATCACTTTTGTTCCAAAGAGCTATGATAAGGAGAGAATGAACCAAAATTTGAGTATCTTTGATTGGCCACTGACAAAGGAGGATCACGAGAAAATCGATCAAATTAAGCAGAACCGTCTAATCCCTGGACCAACCAAACCCAGTCTCAATGATCTTTGGGATGATGAAATATAAAAGAAAAAATGTTAAAAGTTATTTAAGTTTATCTATGAAGCTATCTTTTATATTTAAATATTTTATGCTGGTTATTTCTTTTGAGCTCTGAATTACGGTGTTTTGTATTGGATTTCAGTAATCAAATATAAATTTCAATTTTTTCCAAGTTTTTTTAGTTAGTAGTTTACTTTACAGCATTGAAATTCGTTTTTCTTTTTATTGACTTTATTATACAATTCAGTTAAGGGATGTGTGTCAAACTAATAATATAAATATACTAAGAAGTTGAAAGAGTGGTATACCATAAAAATCAAAACTTAAGAATGCATAATCACCATATTATAGCCCAACAAGCAGAATGGTAGCATATTTAAGAAATTTATGTTTAGGATAAGGTGTGAATGAGAATTCAATGAAATTGTCCCATATATAAATGAGTAGTGCTAGAAACACTAATTTTATGTTGAATCCATTTTTAAAATGGTGGAGCTTACATGAGTTTTATCTTAAGAAGAGAACCTTAAAATGTGCAGTCCTAACACTCCTTGTGTCTAATTTCTTATGTAAAAGATTACATACAATTTCAAAATTGTCTAGAACAAGATATGGACTGATAACAACACAGGAACTTCACCTTTTAGATATCAAATTATCAATCCATCTTTGGTATTTGTAATATAAGTAATGAAACGCCAACACCACCGGCACTGGCAAAAATGTTCCTCGACAAATTGTGTTTTTAATTCAGTTGGTACACATGCAAAATTAATGAACATGTTACTACAATTACATTTAGTGGCATATCATTCATAACAAGCAAGACCAATATAAAAAACCATACAAATTTCATTGATCATCTATGCAGATCAGGATCCTGCCTTGCAAACACACATTGAACTTCTATTCTGACTCTACTTAAGAATCTAACAGCTAATGGCAGATAGTAGAATTAAGTTGCAATCTCTGTCAAAAAGCGGGTGAACAGATACACTGCATCCTGCAAGTGACCGGAGCGTAGGTCTTCAGGAATGGGAGCACTGAAAGCAGTGTCAAAGCAACTAAATTGCTCATCACATGTGGCACCCTCGCCAACAGCAGATAATAGCAAATCACATATTTCGCTAGCCATTTTTGAATAGGCCACTCTGCAAAATAAGTCGTAAATGTGAATATAGCAATTAAAATACTATCACGACAAAAGGTTTTCACGGAAAAGGACGTATATATATACCTTGCATCAGCAGGTAATCTGTTACCCCAAACAGCCAAAGATTCATTTAACTGACTAACAAATTCCTGACATGCAGCATTTTTACTTGGAAGAGAATCCTGAAACAAGAAATTGTGACTTCATTCAATTAAACAGAAAAATAAATTCTTGCACTTTCATGTTTCAGGTTCAAACTTGTTCAAGTTTTAGATACACTTCACAATCAACTACAAAACAATGAAACCATAAAAGACAGAAGCAAGCATTGTCCATACCAATTCAGTCATGGCATTTGTATCTCCCTGAAGTGAGTTTCTCATTAAATAAAATGAAATATAAATTCCAGCTCCTAATTCCCAGTTTTCAATTTCAGATTTATAGTCCTCCATGGAAGTTGCTATCCTCCATATCTCAGTGTGTTTAGCTGCACAGTATATTAAAGAAGTTATAACTATGATGCACTATTGCATTTAAATGCCATTAAGAAAAATTCTAGCAATTATTTTCCAGCCATTTAAAAGTAAGATCAAGTAAAAATATGTAAAATTCTGAAGATGCAGGGCAAAAGAGGGAGATTTTACAAGTAGTTTTTAACAACATTATCTTTTGCCAATTTTCTGCGGTGCATAAGATGATTTTGTTTCATGGCAATTTCCAGAAAAATAAGGTCCAGTAAGGATATCTGGATAATGAAATATCTGGAAATTGTTTGTTTTGTCCATAGAAGGGCCAGCTATGTGCAAAACAACATCCAACAACAAACTTTCAAATTTAATTATGAATATTATGCAACATCCCGAGGATTGTCCTTAACTTTTGTTTTTCCAAAGCTTCAACCTTGCAATATTTGGGTTAGGTAGTAGAATAAATACCAAAATCCCCTCATACTCTTTTTGAGGTTCCAGAGTCAATTGATTGGTACCACTGTACCAGAACTGAGATCAAATCCAATAACCGTATTAACTAGCATCGAATAGCACAGCAAGATGCCTCAAAATTTACTAAATCCTATTCTGTGGTTCTTGCTTTAAAATACGTGCATTAATTAGATAATTCAAAGTCAGAGCATCTATTGGGGGTGTGCTAGAAAATAACAAGGGACAATATGTGATCATTTAGGTATTTCAGAGAGTAATATACATTCTAAAGTATAGGGTATGAAAAAATAGAACATTGGAATTGCCTTCCTCTCTATAGTTAAAGAAAATGTATATCTTCAAGTAGAACCAATTTTCTGCTTGAATATTTAGAAAAGGAAACATCCTCTGGTGTTAATTAATTGATTTTAAATAGTTTGTGTTGTGTTTTTACAGCCTAAGCTTAGCTGCTGGAGCTCCTTTATGATGAAGCATTTAGTTGATTAGTTAGTATGGGAAATCATACATCCCAAGTTAAGCATTATTTTTCATTAAATAATAAAGAACCATCAACGCATCAACTATCTAATCCGTGTTTGTGAAAGTTCAAATACTCTTAGGCAGATGTATCACAATTATGATTCACACAAATTGTGAAAAGTATTGGTTTAAAGACTCAACCATAGCACCTTAAAATTACCAAAATGTATCGTAATAAATCCGACAAACATTAGGTGTTTCTTTTACCAAGCAATATACATTTAAAAGAAGTATTACCTTGCAAGAATAACTTATGAGCAACTGAAGTTATAAAAATGGTATGAGCTTTCTGCCAATTAGCACACTGAAGAAATTCCTCAAGGGCTCTTGTGAGATCTCCATTATAATTATAATATATTGCCTGCACCACAACAAGAAAATCATTCAAATAATTAAAAGTTTCTCAATGAAAGAAATCGGGAACATCCAGAAACTGCAAGCATTTGCACGCCCCATTAATCAATGAAGAACACCACAGAAGGACAACAAATTAATGCAGTTTTAGTCAGAAATTGATCATTCAGTACCCCTATGAATTATAAGCTTTTTATTTTCCTTGAATAAATATAAATCTCATTGGTTCTAAAAATCCACTCAAGCAAGGTAACAAACATCATTTATTTTAAATCTTCTTTGTTTGGTTCAATTATTTAGAGCGGAAAGGAGAGGAGTGGAGTGAAATCACTCCTCCCTTTATATTGGAGGATTTTGTTAGGAGAACAGAGATGAGTCATAAAATTTAAATGCATTGACTAAAATACTTTTGCATAAAAAGTAAATAAAAAGTTATGAAATATAAAAAGTAAATCAGTCTTCCTCTTCATTAAAATCTCTCGCCTTCCCTTGTGAACCAAATAAACAGAGAATTATCTCCCCTATTATAATCCCTCTCCTCCCCTCATTTAAACCCAACGCCGTGTAATATAATGGAGTGGAACACAAGGTAATGCACTCGAAAGGAAAGGGGATGAATGGAACAAAGCAATCATTCCCCATCTTTGGAACAGAACTCAGTTGCCTTTTGAGTTTCCTTCTATTCTATGGTAATTTTGGTTAGACAAATTTGTGTATTTGAGGTGAAATGATCTCCCCGGTGTTCTATTACCTTCCTATCCAAAGTCCTAAACATGGCTTAATTACTAACCTTTCACTCATTATCAGCTATCCAAACAGGCAGTTAATAGGGTAAAGCAACAATTATGCGAGTCACAATATTTTTTTATAATTGTAAAAATATGAAGGGATAAATAAATAGGACGCATACCAAAGCCTCATGCATCCATTCTTTGGGAATGCCTAAATCCTCAATAAAACAGTACTGAGATTCATCTGAACTCCAAGTTTCACAGTATTGGAACAATATTTCCCGAATGAGATTTACGTGAAGATATGGATAATCTTCTCGGTGGGGCAGGTGAAGGGCCACATATATTGCCCAGTGGCATTTCCCTAAGCACAACAGCTGAGACACAAATCCCATGTCTAGAATATGAAGATCATTAGAATTGATGACACCCACTGCTTCCAAAACTTCACGTTGGTGCCAGATCATATGATAGTCAAGAGGATCAGGGGTTGACGAGAAGGCACTGAACATGGCCCTTAGAAAGCTGAATTCTGTCTCTTCATTAGCATGAAGAAGCATGAGATAAAATGAAATGTCAAAGTGTTTTTCTGATTTCAAACTTACAACCTCCTCTGATGTTCCTTCATCAATAAAAAGTGGAACAGGGTACGGAGCCGCTCCCCCATCAAGAAATTGTTTATAAGTCTCAAAAGCAGCTGGTAATGAAGTGTCGGGAGATAATTGGTACCACATTAATAATCCTAAGAACCTCCTCCAGTCAATGTGGATATCGTACAATGCATCATGAATATTTCCCGCAAGCAGCTCATAAAGTCTCAATCTGTCTTTTTCAATGAAATTAAAATCAAGCCCTTTATTCCTCCAGATATCAAGTTGTTTTGCAACGTCAGAGCGATTCAGAGTAGAACCACCAGCCTGACTTAACAAACAAGCCAACCTCACATCTCCTTTGGACACAGCCAATTGCACCGCTTCATCCAATTGCCGCCCAGTCAGAAGTGTAAAAATATGTTGCAAATAGTTAGAGTCGTCAAGAGAGCTTATTTGGTTTTGGACATGATAGGAGACACTCTCTCGCAACCAATAACTGAACTCTGCTCTTCTCATAAGAGGGAGTGCTTCTTGGTCAACATCTTTATCAACTTCCTTTATATCCTGCATCATATCTTCCTCATTGTCAGCGCCCAAAGATTCTACTCGTCCCTTTTGTTCTCTCTCAGAAAAAAGAACTCGCATTAACTCCCAGGTCATTACTTGGTGTGTCAAACATAATCGATTCAAGGAAGGTATGCCAGGCACACTCAATTGCCTCTCAATAATATCA